ACACACACACACACACACACACACACACACACACACACACACACACACACACACCACCCCAAAGCTGATGAACAATGCAGTCTGTCCTGGTGGAGTCTCCCTGGACCCATTAAGACTGGCCTCACATCATGAACACTCAAGGCCAGATAACAGAAAGAAGAACAGATGGAATTAGACTTCTATTCTTAAAAGACAATAAAGTGAGAGAAGGAAACAAATGGTGGCTTCTCAACCTTATCAGTGAAGCCAGCTTCTGCCCAAAATGCCACCCACCCTGCATGAGCATCGGACTTTCTTACAAAAACTGCATTGTCCAAAATCCTGTAAACGGGCCATCCCTGCAGCCACAACTTCAAGTCTTACATCTTTCCCTTTGATTTGAAAGCAGAAACATGGCTCTTCTATCATAACCATAAACCGCCCACACACAACACAGTGTTTCAATAAATGTTAAATGATACAAGATGCTCCATTTCAATGTAATGGATTACTTAATGAAGCCCATCGCTTAACAAAGCAACTGAGGAAAATTTGGTACAAAACAAATAAGTTTGCCCCAAACAAACTGTCTTGTGAGGTGAATGTCTTTGGAAATGGGAATGGTTAGGAATTGGACCAATGAAATAAATTTGAACAGTAGACCTTACATACCTTCTTAGTGTTGAAGTTGGCACACATCTTAGTATTTCCTAGCAGTGTTTTACAATACAGTCTACTTTCCTTATTGTTTTAGAAATAAAATAATGTTCACTTCCTCCAAAAGAGTAAATGGGTCAAGACTCTTCTGGGTTTTTTAGTTGCATGTATTGCACATATATGGATTTCTTTAATCTGAAACTGGGCATATTCCAAAGATGTCTTAATCATTTTGAGGGAACATAATGGTATCTTAACCTTCCTTTTTTACTTCTGTCATTAATTCACCACACGGCTATGTAGAATTTTTTTCAGTTTATGGCCCCAGGGACATCCCTAATGAGTGCACAAGTGAACAGGTTTTCCTAATTTATTCATTTGGAAAAAAAAAAGAAAGAAAGAAACCAATTTACTGTGAACCAAAGATCATGCTAAATTCTGGGGTATGGTAAACAAAATGAATACCAGGCCTGACAGCTAGCAAAAATTTGTATCTACATAGTCTCCTCTCTGCCCATGCCCACTACTGTTCATCATTCACCACCACCCCACCCCCAAAGCCTGGTCCAAGGTTGAAGAGATTCATGAGAATCTGCTCTGCCACCCAAATACTCAGTTTTCTTTCCTTCCTCCATTCCCACCATCGAAGTCTTCCCTCTGGCACTCATTTAGTTTCTAGTCCCTTTTGGTCAGCATAGGTCTACATTCCCTTACCGTTTGCAAACTTGGTATGTAGTATTTCAAATCACCGTTGCCCTTATTGTAACCACATTGTCCCATTTTCAAGCTTGTCAGAGTGTGTACTCAGGTCATGAACTATAGAATTTCACCCCATTGTGCCACATTTAAGATATAGTGCTACAATAAAAACCGCTTGCACGTTTATCATAGTTCACTTGCCCTGCTGCTCAAGAGTAGATTCCAAGCTTCTTAAAATTACATGACACAATGCCCTCCACATAGTAGTTGATGAACAATGCATAAATATATGAATAAGCCTGGCTCCATTCTCTGAGTTACAAATAAGAAAAACAAAGCCCACAGACATTTCATAAGGAAAAAAACCCATATAATTAAGAAATTATAGCTATATTTGATGTATTTTTAAACTTTTGCTCCAGGACTTTTTCTATATGAACATATTGTCTCAAATATAATCCTCTAAGTCCAAAGTGTTATATACATGGCCACATGGGACCTGATCACCTTGACCTAGCTTAGACTCCAACTTGTTTAGGCACTTTTCAGTTACTTCATTCATTTGTCCATTATTTAGCAAATATTTTTTCACTGCTCCTGAATCTCAATGTAAAAAAATGCTGAATATACACAGTAAAGCAACATGTGCATCCTCTGTTCTCCAGGAACTTTAAATGTACTGGGAGTTCAGGCCGTGAAATGCTAGGAAGTGGCCCAACAAGAGGGCCAGGAGATCTACCTCAATTGCATTCCTTCCTCTCTAGGTTACAAGCCTCTGTCTAACCTATCGTGTTCGCTCGCGTACAACAGTTTCCAATCTGCTCTTCTGTGTCCTGAGTCTCACTGAATTCATAGCCTGACACCCCCCTAAACCCACATATTATTACACCCTAGTAGAGCCTGCCCCCTTCAAGTCTAAATTCTGGCTATCAACTCCCATATTTCTTAACTGTTTGATTACTAAAAACACATCTCCATAGGTTACATTATTTGCCAAACTCCTTGGAGATGGGACACTATTGTTTAGTACTATTTCAAACACTAAAGAATTGAGTAATAAAATAATGCATAGGAAGAATCTCCAGTTCTCAATCCTACACACACACACAACATGGGGGGTGGTAGAGAGATGCACAGTGGTTGAGAATATATACTGCTATTCCATAGGACCCAGGTTTTGTTCCCAATATCCATATCAGGTGGCTCACAACTAATGTAACTTCAGCTCTAAGAAATCCAACACCACCTTCTGGCCTCTGTAGGCACCTACATTCATGTACGTACACACACACACACACACACACACACACACACACACACACACTTTAAAACAATAACATCTAAAAGACAATTGGAAAAAAAGCAGGCTATGGTCACTATTAATGACACCCTTTCTATATGATAAGACCAATGGCTATCATAACATCAGGTGTTTCTTACTTCCAGGGTTCTTTTCCAATGTATTCAGTTGTCAGACTCTAACTAGATGGTAAACTGTGCACCAGGCACTGCAGGAATACTGAGATGAGTAAAATAGAGTATTCCTCATCAGTAAAAATGAGAATATGAGCCTAATTAGAATTCACTGTGATGACTGACCACATCGTCATTGAAGCAGCTATATCAGGAAAGGGAATGCAGGTGAGAGAAGGCCTACTTCACTGAGAAATATCTAGAAAGGTGAAAAGGACAAAATTACATGTAACACCACACTAAGCACTGCATGACATAAATATAACCTCTGACCTCCCCATCAAAAGAGCCACTGGTGCAGGTTCAAGACTTGGGATGTAATCTAAAAGGAATGTGGATGGTCGTCTCAAGCACGGGAGAATATATTAACAAAAGAAAAATTGTTTTTGCATAGTCGTGGGAAGAAAATTGCTTTGTCCCAGTGGAGAACTGCCAAGAAGTTCGGGTGGTCACAGAAATCTTTCTGCTAAAGGGCTTGTTCACTGAACAACTAGCATTGATTATGTTTGTTCCTCTGCCAATAAGTATCTCTATGCATCCTTTTAAAAATCTAGTCACTACTGAATAGTATTACTAGTATAGGACATTAAATTAGAATGTACTGTTGTTTCCTAGCCAATTTTTAGGAATAGGAAAAAGGGACTCTCCATGACTTCATGCTAAAGTAGTCAACAGTCTCACTATTAAATCAATAAGTGGTCAGTGGTTTCGCCACTAAATCAATAATGTCTCTTCTGCTCTGATTTCCCTTTGGCTTCAACCTTTATCGTACAGCTCGGATTTTTGTTTTTTGTTTGTTACTTAATGACAGTTTGTCAGCGTCAATGCCTTTGCAATGACAGCACCAGCTCTAACCACCAGGAAACAGGGTGTGGTTTGGGGGCACTCCATCGTTGTTCTCTTCAACTTTTCCAACTGTGGGGCTTCACCCCCAGTAAACGGGTATCCAATCCAGTCAACTTAGTGTTTCCAGTCCAGAGACATGACTACGATTCTAAAAAGGGTCTTTTGAAAAAAAAAAAAAAATCTCAGCTAGGAAGATTAGTAAAATAATTTCCATTTAGGTCATGTGTTGAATTAGAGAATTATAAAAAAGTATTCCCAAGGTATCTGCATATATGGCACACACAGAGGAAGCTCATTAACATAGTTATGATGTAAATGTATTCAAGAAATAAATGCTATGACTTGATAATGTTGAACTTCTTCAAGTACAATAAGCACGTGGATGGCTTTCAGAAACGCCACGGCCATCAGATAGTGGCTAATATTACTACAAATCTTGATAAACCCTGCAAGACTCCAAACACAGCTGTCACTCATGCAGCTTACATGGGTACTCACATCTAGCCTGTTCATAACCACTGCAGAAAACTCTCAAAGTCTCAATTTCTGATTTTCTATGGTCTGTGATTAGAAGCAAAATAAAAACTGGGGGAACCACTGCTAAAAGCAATGAGAAGTGTAATTAAGATCCTGGCAGAGACAAAGATTCAAAACTATCGTTGATACTTAATACACCTTATTAGTTCCTGGAGTGGGCATACCTCCGCACAGCTCACCCTCCGTAACAGTGGTTCTCAACCTTCCTAATGCCGTAACTCTTTAACACAGTTCCTCATGTTGTGGTGGCCCCCAACCATAAATTTATTTTCGTTGCTACTTCATAACTATATTTTTGCTACTGGTATGAATTGTGATGTAAATATTTTTGGAGACAGAGGTTTGCCAAAGGGGTTGTGACCCACACAGAGAATTGCTGCTCTATAACCACTGTGCTCAACTGTCAGAGATCTCTACAGTATGTTTCACAGCAGCTTTCAAATTATTTCATATCCGTATTAGTATTGGGAGAAATCTCTTTGGTTTTGATAAAGATCTGCATAATGAAAAATACACAATTTCCATTGAAAATTAGGATGCAAGGATGACTCAAAGGTGACAATCTTAGAATCACTGCAGATTGGGACCACTCCTACTGACCTGAATTGCATGTGCATGCGCATGATGGCTCTTTGTCAATGTCCTGAAGAATAATTCTGCTATTATACCTGTTTCTTTACCTGTCTCTTTCTCTTTTTCTAGCCGGAGGCCACCTCCATCGCCAACTCGCCCCACTATAATCCGTCCACTAGAATCCTCACTGTTAGACTAAATGAAGTGTCTGGCATGGCAATTAATCACTAATGATTTATGCAAAAGCAACATATTCTGTAACCTTTGCAGTCAACCATGAGTAGTCGCATGTATGGACATCCATAGGCAAGTAGCCAGTTTTACTAATGTATTCATCACCCATCTTCATTGCTCATGGTATGCCAGACCTTTGGGGTTTGACTGAAAAACTGCTAACCCGTAGAGAGACTTAATATGTTGTACTGACCAAGGTAGTTTTGTATAGCAGTCCTATACTTTGGTACCATTTATCTATCCAACATATATCTGAAGAGTTTTCTAAGTTGTCTACGAAGCAGCTTATAACAATTCTTAACAGACATAAGAGTGAGCTTAGAGCCACATCAATTTCTCCCTCACATTCTGTTTAAGATGACAGAGATTCTGTTGTCTGCTATTGACGCCACTACCTACTCCATAATTACCTATTTAGATTTCTTTCCCGTCTTTATCCCATAAGCCCTCTAGGAAGTGAGATTTTAAAATTAGGATTGTTTAAGAAGGAAGCTTTTCAGGAGCTTGAGGCAGTTAGCAAAGGGAAAGTCTATCTACAGGGTTTGCTCTAAGTAGGGAGCTTCTCCCAGTGCCAAGTGTGTTTTGCTTCATGCTAGAAGCACAAGCAACAATGCCTGGATTGTTTGGTAATGACCAAAAAATCAGTCAATAGATTTGGCTACTTCCAGAAGGAAGCAGCAAAAATATCACCATTCTAAAAGTCTCTGGGGAAATAGTACCTATTTATTATCTCATATATTTACCTCTCTGTAGGCTCTGATGAAGGAAGGCTGACATTGAAAATGTTTAATTTTACAGTTGATTTTTTTGACATGGGTATCTAACTCTATTTAGTTATTATGACTATTATTTCGGCTGGAGCAAAGTTAAATGTATGTTAATACATGTTTCCTATGGTTTACATATAAGTGATTATGCAAGAATCCCTTTAAAACAACTAGAATGTCTCTACCCATTCCAGACTCTCTTAACTCTTGCAATGTAATGACACAATTGCATTGGAAGTGTGGTCCCTGTATGCAAACTCAGAGATACCATGGTTTAGGGGCACAGCTCACATGTTTACAGATGCCCTGCTCCAGCTTGCTCCCAAAAATGCCTTTGCAATATTGAGCTGCAGAACAAATTTTCAATTTCTAAAATTTACAAGAGCAGTCTAGCCTAGAGGTTAATAGTTCAGCCTCAAGGCTAAGTTTTAAACTACCTACGACCAGATGATTAACATGTAGGAGACAGCTAGAAGCCAACTGGAATTCTGTCTGCGAACTGCTCCCAGACAGCAGAGACATTCATTGAATTGTGCGTCCCATGACATTATTCCATATTCACAGAAGTAAATTAGGTTTTACTAACTGCATTGTCTCCCTTTGAAGGCAGCAAACATGATTTGTATGTGAATTCCATTTTAATTTCCTGTGCAGTTTCTACCTGAAGCAGGTAGCCCTAAAATATGACGTAAAAACTTTTAACCATTATTTTTTAAAAAAAAATAATACTAATAATCCAAGTTAAATGGCACTGCGTTGAACTTATTCTAATGGGCTATATCCCACTTATAATTAGAGAATATGAGACATACAAAAGGGGTATTTTCAAACTTTAAGTGACATAGAATATCACTACTCTTCACTTCTCTCATTTTTCCCATTGGAAAAAAAAATCTGTGAATGGAACTCACATACGAGATGCACATTGTCTTTGAAAACGGTGTTCCAACTAAATAGAAAAACATTAAGCAAACCTTCATAATCAAACAACTAATAGAGAGTGGGGTCTTCTCATGAAACTCCCTCTGTTTAGGATTCCCTTTGCTTCTTTGAGTTCTCTAAAATAGGCAGCTAATGAATTAGATGCTTCAGGGTTTGGCTATGTACTTAACTGTGGTTTTGTATCTTGCTGTATTTCAAAAATTTCCTTCTGTTAGAGGAAAATATTGCAGAAAACCACTGGTGTGTTCTCAGATCAGCACAAACCAGTGTCAAGGAAAATGGGGGATTTGTCTCTCCAGGGTTCTTCCCACTCATCTTAGACAGTCGTAAACAATGACATTTGTCATCTTTGGCTTTTGCTTCTCGATCCACAGATGCCCTGTCCCAAATGTCTCCATCTGTCAGGACAGTTTTGTTCTCTTTGCTACCATGTTATATCAGTGGCACCCAGCACCCCCCACCCACCACCCACCCCAGAATTTCAGCAATGGCATTCCAGAATATTTTCAGTTTATTGCAGTTCGAAGGGTTTGCATCCTGCTAACAGGAGACACCAACATGAGGGGAGCCTGACATTCTAGAGTGTCGAGTCTGTGGAGTGGCATGCACATTAGGCCTTACAATGGGAATGTAAACTCGAAGGGCCTTCCATTTCCCATTCCATTTCTAATCTCCTGTGCAACCTCCTGATTGATGATTCTGATGTTGTCAGCACAATAGGTGTAGCTCTATCTTGTCTAGCATAATAATAAAAACCAGTGTTTCTGGTTTTTGTTAATAATTTTGTTAATAATAAACCCAGTGTTTCTAGGATTTGAAAAAAAAACTACTTGTTTGATTAAGTAAATCCAGTTTCACTGTCACATGCTAAACTTTGCATGCATGTTGACTAACTGGAATAACCGTTTACTTAATTGTGGGTGGAATATGAAACAGTATTGATTTAGAACAGATACATTCCCCAAAGTCATCTACTAAGAAAACCTTCTTGAATATTGCTTTTAGGTGTGTTTTACAGCATAGAAGAGCAGTAGGGTCTATTTATTGGCAATTTCACTGTTTGTGCAGATACATACTCATTCTATCCAAAAGCATAATAAAACAATTTCTGTGTTAGAAGCATTCTGAATTTAGAATTAAGTAGCCACATAGATTAATTTGTGATTTTTTTAGACTGTAGCCATAACTCTAAAATATGAAATGGGACCTGATACCAGTATGTGACAAGTGTTGATGTTCTCTGTGTACTTATTTTCTCTGCATGTCTCTAGGAATACACTATATACATAGTAAACATCTATTTCATGTACTTTTTGAGTAAGTTCAAAAGCACTTGCTAACATGCCATTAAGCATGAATGTGATAATATGTGCATTATATATATATATGTATGTATGTATGTATGAGTATAAATATCAGTGTAAACCTGTGCTCAGTATGTAAGAATATGAATATATTTTTAACTGTGCTAATGTATGATATATGTTGGGAAGATCTGCCATAACCTGTGATTACAGTAGTTCATTTGTCATAACATACATGAGATACACAGATTTTCTAACTCATACTGTATATATTATGAGGGGCACAAAGCTTATGATAACCAGGTTGAGGTAGAGCGATGACAACCAGGACAAGGTAGAGTAATGTCTATAATCATTAGGAATGAAACCCACAGCACTGCTACATAAAGGCATTACCCTTTGGTGATACTCTGATAAAAAGTATTAGACTTGGAAGCTTTTCTCTAAGGTCTCTAGTTAGAACTGTGTTATTTAAAGATTGTTGAGTTGACTCTTAAGAAGCTAAGTTGATCTGTGTGGTCATTTATTCTCTATAGTAAAAGTTAAAAGAATACAGAGAGGTAGCAACATAATGAAAGGGATGGATCTTTCTGAGCAAAACTGTAAAACATGCAGGGAACAGGTTACTTAACTCCTTGGAGGTATGTTATCTACTCTTTCAGGTAAACCTTTTGCATTTAGAAAACTATATATTCACTTTAAATCGATGGGAATCTCTGTCGGATGGAGAATAAAGCCTAAACAGATCTCCAAACTGTCTTAATTCAGTGAGAGATGATTGTGTATAAGACTCAAGCCATGAGTTTTACAACATTTCACCTAGGACTACTAGCTGTGGACTCAAAGTTCCTGTGAATGAAGCCAATTTTAGAGAAATAATGGATAGTTCATCAGATCATTTAGTCTTTTCTAAATAACTATTTGTCTTCTAGATAATAGGCTGTCTAGCTGATGTGTTAAAATTATGTGGTGCTCTGTATGTGAAACTTTAACAATATTTTTGAAGTATATATAGTATATGCATTGTTAGTTGTGTATATATGAATACATGTAAGAATATTTATATGTATGAGAGCAAGAGACGGGAACCTCAGAATCTCCTGTTTAAGATCTGCTAGTACTGGTATACTGGTGAGACTTCTCATTCCACTGGTCAAGGGCTTCACATGTGGCTCAGCTCAAGGCATTAATTTCCTTATTGCTTTTACCTTTAAATTCCCTAAACTTTATTCATAATATTTTCAAAGTATACAAAAATTACTCCACTGTCTTACACCGACTGCTGCCAATCTGTAGAAATCATTTCTCAGAAACCCTACCACTATGACCTTGTGTGCTTTATTTCCTATGCACAGCTTTTGTTTCATGGGCTTGTAAATGTTCCTCTTCTCTCCCTGTTCTGAGTCAAATTTCCCTTTTGCTTTTTTATGAATGATGGGTATATAAAAGTCAAAGCTTGTCTTCTCTGTTTATTCTCTAATTAACATGTCTTTTTTGGCACTTTTGGGATTTCTTAATGCTGGATTAATATGGATTCTGTGAATGGGATTTTTGAAGCAAATTCCTAAAGCCTGTATCATCCTTGAAGGTCATGTACCTAGTGTGAAAATGTGAAACTGTATTTCGAACCTGAAATAAATTATTACATTTGAAGGAACCCCCACTTCCTCATTCTTGTATACATTTGAGTCTCTGCATTTCAGTAACACTGAAAGTCAACTCCTACTGCCCTTCACTCAAATTTGTCCAGCAGTACTAAAGGGGAGAGTGACAGCGGTTTGCATCCCCGTCCTTAAGTTACGAGAAAAGGAAATTTTCAGACAGCAAATTAGATAAATCAAAGAAAGGGGGTGGGAGGAGACACTTCTTACTAATTTGAAATAATAGGTTGCAGGATTCTAACCTCAGACAGTGGCATGGTATCACCTTTGCCAAGAAGCGATGTGACAGTTTGCCCTTGGAAAAGAAGTATGTGTGGGAAAACCCAAGAAGTAGGAGGAAAGATAGTCTATTTACATGTTAGGTCAACTGAAGACAAACACTGAGCACCTGGCTAATACCTGTTACCTACTCTTTGGGCACAAAAAGGGAAATGTAACTGCAATGTGTCCAGTAATTAGAAAATAAAAATAAGTGTTAAGTAGGTACAAATAATCCTTTCCCTAATTCTGTTTCCAGATAATAAACACTCTTTGTTGTGAGTTTTGATGACAGCTCCCTAACCACACATGGTTCTAGACTATGCCATCAAAATGCAGACAATAGGAAGGGTAAGAAGGGAGAAATATTGGTTTAATTTTCCATGCATGACCAGGATATATAATTATGGGAAACAGAGCTGGACAGATTGCTCTTTTCAGCTGCAATGTCCCTCTCTATACATTTCCCACAAGTGGAGAACCCATGCATTCAACAGAAGCTGTCTATTGGGAAAGATCATGGATACGAATCAGGCTGGTCACTTGCATTTTGCATTTAATAACATGATTCTAATGTATGGTAAGATACTCAGAATAATTTCTAAAGAAAATTACAAAAAAAATGTCATTCTTTCCATCATTGTAAATCTCTGCTTGATTTGTTCTCAAGATTCCCGTCTTTCTGACACAACCTTTCAATTGCACTTTGAGAAACGCATCTAGCATCTGGTTTCACGAGACTCAACCTGACTCCACCTCCACCCTTACCAACTCTTGATACTGTCACACTTGGGTTGTTTCTTGGTGCTCTCTCATACCGTAGTGGCATAGTAATTAGAATATATGCAAGAGACAATGACTAAAATTACTGACTTAATTCAAAGCCTTCCAAAGTGCATTGCCCAAGATTGTAATGAGTTCACATACAGAGACCAAGAGTCATTTTATCAGTATACTTTGGGAGATGATAGCTACAATGTAAATATCTTTTACTAAAAGAAAGTAAGTAAAATTGCACTGTGAATCTTTAAGAGAGAGATAGTGTCTACAAGCTCTTCAGACTTCTTTGATCATAAAAGTTTCATTCATATAATAACCCACAGAACTAGTATTCTAAGTAACCTGCTTTAGGAAACATTGCTTTGGGGGCATTAGCGAGAGGGAAAGCCATTATACATGATGATGTTTTTGTTTGTTTGTTTTTGTTTTTGTTTTTTGAGACAGGGTTTCTCTGTGTAGTTTTGGTGCCTGTTCTGGATCTCACTCTGTAGACCAGGCTGGTCTCTAACTCACAGAGATCAGCCTGGCTCTGCCTTCCGAGTGCTAGGATTAAAGGTGTGTGTCATCACCACCTGGCTACATGATTATTTTAGAGTAAGCCGACACCAACAAAAAGTTGTGTGCAAGTTCAAGAGTAAGAGCAAGATGAAGTCCCAGCTCAGGACAGACATCCGGAAGCACTGGTGGCTTTGTGACAATGGTATCTGAGCTCCCTAGAAGGAGATGCCATAAGACAGGAGCATGAAAGCAGAAGAGGTGGGCACAGGCATTGATTCCTACTAAACCTTGGGTGCGATCTTGTCATTTCCTACCTTTCTTCCCTATCCCTTTCCAAAAAAAAAAAAAATTGCATTGAATATATACTTGTGAGGTGGCTGTGAATGAAGAGAGCCAGGTCCATCTAAAATGAACCTTCACCAGAGAAGGACTGAGGACACCCCGTTCCTGTTGTCTTCTTTCCTCACTTCCCCATGCTTTAGGCTCACCCCTCTGCTGTGGGATGGTAAGTTGCCGAAATGATAGACAAAGCAAGCAAGCAGAGGTTGGTGAAATTTTACAGAAAAGGGAAAACATAGAAAGAAAACTGTCTAAGAGTTCATTCCATGGCAAGGGCACCATCAAACTAAATTGTGGCAGTGGGATAGAGCTGAGAGGATGTAATTCATTCTTCCTAATAATTCTTAATGATTTTTTCATCTCTTTTTCTTTGTGTTTGGGAAAAAACTCATCTGTGAAGTTATTTTTCTGAATGTTTAAAAAAATATAACCTGAACGTATAATCTTGATGACATTATGTGTGCCTGTGAATACCAGGTTGTCGAGCTTTGAAATGTGTTACCTCAGTACTCCAGTACTTTTGTAGGTTTGTGTAAAGCCCACATTTGCTCAGCACTTGCCTTCAAGCACTCTATAAATATAAAATTCTGAAAGGGGAATAGCAAAAACCCAAACTGTCAAGATCCATGGTAGAACTAGCAGGTCCACTGAATGCTGCTATTATCAATGGTGCTTTTCTGGTAACAACAGGAACGTCAGATACAGGGTAAGTGAAGAATAGAAGAAAGGAGCTGTCTGAGGGAATGTCACCATGGTGTTTGAAGCAAACTTTCTTGCTGTCAGTGAACTATATTTTAGAACATAATATGTCTGATCCTGTTTCTGGATTGGAACACCAAACTAGCTCCCATGGGAAGGTGTTTTTGGCATGTGCTCACAGAATGTCCCTTCAGCACTGTAGACCTGCTGTTCAGTTTAATGGCTCACCTCCCCACCATGCTGAGGTAATTAAAGTGTTCTAAAGCCCCTTCAGAACT